GATAGTAGGTACATGATAATAGGTAGGTATATAATTTCTATTTTTGTTCATATTAATATATTTCCTGGATCTCGGTTTGGTGCTTCTTTATCGTAGTTTTCGTATAATAATATGACGTACAAAACGCATTTTTTCTATAATTCTGGCCCTTCTATAGAATTTCTTAAGCTTTGTGGCCCCCCCATTAAAAAAGTTTGTCCACCACTGAGTTAGACATTAAGGACTTAGGATACATTCGATCATAATATATCTTTATGTATAGATTATTGTAATGGTATAATATAGTGATATATTATTTAATTTTTTATTTAGACTACCGCACCGTATGATATGCAGAGTTACAAGCCAAACATGCTTCCTCCATTTTTTATTTAATAATGAATTTATTCAAATTCTGACTTCTGGAATTTTTAAATAAACTTAAAGTCCATATTTTATAATGCATGTGCTGCTTAAGGAGTGTCCTGTGGAGATACAAACTTACAATTTTCAAATAAAAACCCCATTTTTTACTGTACATTTTTTGGTGGATAGTTTTTTTTATGAGAATGTTGATGTACCTATAATTAAAAATTCAAACGAGTAGTTTTTCAGTTATAAATTTGTTCATGATAAAGATAATAGTCCGTAAAACTGATTTTACAAAATATAAATAATATTAAAATACCTAAGTAATTTTGCCATATTGGATCTAGTGTTTATTATACTTGGACAATTTTAAAAAAATTTAAATTTTGGTATATTAATATTAATTACTAAAATTGTTAGCTCACCATTATAGCCCACATTATCTTCACAAACCCATATTATTATAGAGTACAGACCAATTATCCTCACTACACAAAATTAAATATTTAAAAAACAAGAAGTTCGAATTTTGATTTTGAAACAGCAACATTTTTAGATAAATTATCCGCTAAACAATTTCCAGTAGAAAAGGATAGTTCATATTTGAAGAACATAAGTTGGTATCTCCATAGGACACTTTAAGTATATATAAAAATTCCAAAAATCAGATTTTTAATAACTTCCGCATTATTATATTTATAAATAAGTAATCATGTAGACACACCTAAAGTGTATTGTTGTTTATATTCAACAGAACTTAAACACAAAAACTATGGAGATAGAAAATAATTATTTGGTATTTTAAACTGTAATTTAAAAGTTATAAAAAATTCATAAAGAGATCCCAAAGAAACAGAACAATTAATAATATAGCATTACATACATTATATCTATGCATATAGTTTGTTATACTATAATAAGTTTATAACGTATAAGTGTATTGAACTATTATAAAATTAATTATATACTTAGTAAGTCCCAATATAATACATAGGATATCCTCGGGCTGCCTCGGCCGAACTTGTGATGCCTGTCCCACCAAGTTACTGTAGTAGACATTCAATCTACACATTATGTTTTTTTTTAATTCTTAATTAGTAGGTACCCTAATTTACCTATAAATAAAAAGATAGGCTATAAATAGCTATCTGGCACGCATATCTGGACAATGTGTTTTTTTTTAACTTTTGAATAATTATTTAAACGTTTATATTATAATACCTACTAACCGCCTATTATTATTACTTGCTCAGCGTTTCAAACAACCAATTGTTGAACAATGTTACATTACGAATACATTGTATACGATGTGCAGTGTAGCTTACCAACTTCCTGAAATCGTTATTATAATAATATAATAATTGGATTTTGCTGATAATTGGCAATGTTAAAGTTTTGATTAAAATAAGAAAACATGCTATTCTTGGTTTTAATGTAATCCAGTCTGTGTGATTTTTTAGAATATTTTGAGTATTTGATGATTCACATCTACTTAAAATTCCAGTTTTGCAAAAATTTCAAAAATGTATAATATTTAGTGTAGTGACTATAGTGATTCAATAGGTGCTTACTTTATTTTTGAATTGCTAAGTATATTTTTAATTCCGTATTCTGCTTAAGTTGTAATTAATGAGAATATTCATGAATAAAATATGAGCGTTTAAGAAAACGCGTAATATATAAAATAACAAAAGAAACTATGAAGATAATTACAATAATAAAATGTATATACATAATATAATATAGTGTTGTAAACGGTAAACTTGTAAGCGCTTGCTATTCGTATTACACGTCACACAAAACACACGACAATTGACTGAAAATGTGCCTCAGTCAGAGACTTTCGGGTTAACGGAATAAATTACACTTGGTTGAATTTTCAGCAGTGTTTTGTGAGATAAGGTTAGGTCATAATGTAACAGGGTTAGGTTATTATGGTTAGATTCTGTGTATAGGTATATGATGCGCGAAAATGATTTCGACATCAGCTGATCGCGTTGCGGTCAACGAACGGACGCCAAATAATGTTACCTAAGAAAAAACTTGTTTGTCAATTTTATTTTGCGATCGGAATACACATATTATATTAAATTTTAACCGAGTGGCTGAATAAAACCATTGCCATTGTTGTATAAAATACTGAAAACAATATTATTTTATTCACACAAAATAAATTATTCAAAACAGACACGGATTACAAATAGTGTCTAAACATTTATGTGTAATTAACATATAAACGAAATTTTAATTGTAAATTAAAGCTTAACGTGATATTATTATGTATTATGTTTTACTTAAATATTATCGAAATTTTTACTATTTCAAATAGTTTCGTATTTTTGACAACTACAAAGTTAGGAGTACGTATCTGGAGATACAAAGTACTTGTATGTTACCTACTGAAAAACATGATTTGAAAAATAACTGAAAATTATGATTTACATACTGTGATATTTTCAATATACATAATGTCATATTCTTAGATATATGTTATATTTGTATTTAATTTTATCACCGTAAAGTACTTGTTACAGTTTTTGGTAGGTAGCATACTTCACGACTCGCGAGTCAGAATTAGGTAGGTATATTAATATTTACTATTTAAATCTTTTAAAAATACTCATAACATTTATTTTAAATATATACTGTTTAAAATGTAAAAAAAAATGTCTATACTTCAAAAAGTATCCAAATACTATTGTATTCGAATATATTACAATCGGATTGTTATTTTTAGACGTCTAACTATTTTAACAGACGTTGCTGTATGTCTGTATAACAATAATATATTAGAATGATATGCCCCCTGTTTACCCACCCGGTAAAACCACAAGCATCTGCATAATGTGAGCACGCCAACCAATAGGTTTTTTTTAGCACAATTATAAATTTTCTCACAAGATGACCATTAAAACCACGGTTTAGGGTACACATTTATGACAACGTACCATAATCCCAATTATGAATTTCAAAAAAGTCTTTTGCTAAATATTTAGCATAAGATTAACGTGTTTGGAATTTGCTTGGCACCAGAAGGGTATCTTTAAAATTATAATAACGGTTGTCTATGCAAACGTTTGTTCAGCCACTCCCCCTCTTTATCGACATTTTGGATTTGTATGGGTTTTATTTGCCCCGATGATTAGCATATATAAATTAGTAATTTGCAGGCTGTTCGGTAGGGACCTAGTCATTATTAAAGAAAATCATGCAAATCGTGGACCAACTAAATTAAAGGGCGTTCATCATCGTTTTCACCTATTATGACAGTTGTTTTGATATATAAAAAATTCTAAATGTTACTATAAGATAAATTTCAGTCAAAACTATTTCCACCCGATTTATAGTTTGTCATTTAACTTTATAGTTCAGAGTTAAATTTTCCAAAACCATATAAATACCCATAATGATTGTTTCATGATAAAATAATGACCCTGTATATAGTACTTAATTATGGTTTTATCGTTTTACATTGAACACAACCATAGAGACAAACCCAAACAACTACATTACTTACGAATGCTTAATAAGTAATTATTGAAATGTTAATAATTATACATTACTATATAAGTAGTTATCAAGTAAAACGATAAAGAATTCTATTAAAAAAAAATTTATCAAAATCAAAATTCATGAGTATTTTAAGAAGTGTCGACTCATAATCAGCGGTGGTCAAACTGTCAAATTTTGAGAGGAAGAGAGGGATGGATCCCCCAACATGAACTTTTTTTCAATATAATATATAATAAATTATATATAAGAATAAAATGGTAACCATAAATTATATTTTTAATGATTAAATAGTGTATATTAAAAAATCGACCACATCCCGTTGTGATAAAACTATTTGACCACCACTGTACGTAATTAATTATTATGATTTTAAAAATAATACCTAAAAAATATACCTAACCAGTTGTTAAAAACCTAAAACTGCCTAATAAATTTACAACGGTAAACATTGAACACATTAAGATAATACTTAATAATTAACACTAATAATTACTATAGTATGAAATTCCTTTACATAATAATAATAATTATATAGTACACTCACTAAATAATAGTATAAAATCAATAGATACGTCTAAAGGCAACGAACAATATATTATAACTTATTAAACTAACAACATAATGTTAATAATCACGGTTACGAGTCAATACTAATTATGATTGACACATAATATAGGTACCTAATGTATATTGTATTATATACTTTGTTGTTCAAATTGGTGCCTTTTATAATTACCTATAGGCTATATTTTTTCCCTATATATTGATGCGAATCATCATTCATCGTGAATGGCCATTGGCTACCTTTATAATTGCAGAAGCTTCATCGGCGTCAACAGTTTAAGTAGAAAGTAAGTAAAAAAAGCAAAAAAAAATATTCCTCAATACTTATATCATTAATTACGAATTATTAAAATATGTTAAGCTATCTGCTTTTTGTTTCATTTGCATATTTGATAGTTACCTACTTGAAATAATGTAAGATGCATAACATCGTTTATAAAAAATTCACTATTTACAACATAATACCTACGCATCACCAACGTCTAACAAATTGTTGTATTATTATTAAATGTAATAATACAATAATAGTTAAAAATAAAATATCTATTATATTATCTTAACTATGAAAAACTTACTTTGTTGTGCCCATAGAGTCATATTTTGCAGACCCAACTGTAGCTTTAAACTATCATGTTGGCATTGAGAATTTTCTGATTTTATAATTGCATTTGGTAACGTTGGTAATATATTTGTAGGTCCTGTCAACGATGCGTTGACACTGACTAGGAATAATGCAAATGCTGCAAAACGAGATACCATTTTATTGGATAACGGTATACGTTTCTGAAACAAAATTAAACAGTTTATTATGACAGAAAACAGTTAAATAAGTATAGTTTAATTAATTCATATTTGTATTCTTATTTTAGATTTTAGATTTAAGTTGAATAATTGTATTGGTGATATCGATCGTAGTGTAGAAGCTTTAAAACGTAGCTTCATATTTTATACAATATTTTATTAAGTTTAATTTTAGTTACTATTCATTTGTGCAATCGTAAATTTGTATATTATAAAGTACCTATGGTGAAAAAAAAATTCCATATCTTTTTTATTAGTCGGAAATGTGTTTTCGATGAAACTAGCAACAATAGATAGGTACAGCCATTAGATGATAAATTAATCAAATTTTCAGACTGAGAAGTAGATATACATCGAGGATTTTATTTTTTCTCCTCATTTATAGACAGGAATGAATTTTAGCATTCAGCTCCACACAACGAATTCACGTGAATCTTTCCATAAAAAATGTAATTATTGTATTGAGTTGCTACATCCTAATACTTTTTTATTTGATCCAAGTTCTAAAATTAATTTAGACCAATAATGTAATTTTAATAAGGGGTTCTACTAAGCCTATAACACTATAATGTACGATTACAAATTAGAAATAAAATCGATTTCATTGAAACCAAAATCGAAGTATACAATAAATGGGGAAAGTAGCTGGTATCCGCTTTCCTGTAGAGTAGGTGTCGAATGTGATACCTTTTCATTCAGTAGTAAGACACTGTAATGTATGTGACGTGTTCAATTTGAATTCAATTAATTGGATATGAAAAACGATTATAAGCGATTCTTAAGGCCAGTTGTACCGTCTATGATTAAAGTTAATCAGAGTTTAATCGGCCTAATTTGCCCGTTTAAATATCTATTATTAGCTAATTAAGCTTAGATAATCATAGTTTAATCGTAGAAGGTACAACTGGCCCTTAGTTGGTCAGCGTGTATTACTAAGTATATTACTATATTTTATGATTGATTTATATTACTATTAAAATAATTATTTGTTTTACTATTATTAATACGGTATAGGCGTAGGTTGAATTATTTTTTAGTGAAAACATTTAATTTTAAAATGTCATTGTGTGCATAAAATATAATAATATAATAAATGTCAAAAGTCTTGAATAATATTTTTTAATTATAGTCTACATTTTAACTTAAAATGTCTATAAAAAAAACTGTATTATATATTGTTAAGATTTTTTGGTGTCTCTCACTCTCTCCCACCAAAACACAAAACCCCAAATGAACTAAGACATATAATTAACAAGCTAAAATTAGGAAATCGTCTGGATACGATTTAATTACAAACAAAATATTACAGCACTTATACTCAATAAAACTATTACTTCTTATATTTATCTACAACTCTATGTTGAGACTCTCATTTTTCTCTAATTTGGATATTTTCCATAGTAATACTTATACATAAGCCTGGGCAAGTTAATGATAATTTTTAACTGGGTTAAGTTAAGTTTATATTAAACATTTTAAGTTAATTGTTATCCTATTTTTTTTTTAACTCAATTAAGTTAAAATGTACATGGAAACTTACAATTAACTTACTAAGTTGAGTTATTATTTATTCTCAAATATATAAAAAGCCATTAATATGTTTTAAAATAATAAAAAGTAAATATTTATGCAATATGCAACATCATTCATCAATAATAATTTTATTATATTTATTACCTATTTAGTTATTTATAAACTAACTTAACTTGGATTTGACTAAAAGTAACTAATTATTTATGAAGTTTATATCAAAAAAAATTAACTAAGTTAAAAATTAAGTTAATGAAAATTAAATTAAAAAAGTTAATCTAAAAAGACGTTAAAATTCAATTAACTTTAACTGTCTACTCGCTTATACCCAGGCGTGCTTATACCATAAACCTGGTAAACTCAAACATCTACCATCATCATATAGAGTCTATAATATAGGCCTATAGGATATAAGTCTACTACCAGACTTATCAAAATTGTTTTAAAAATTATTCCCGCTCCTTACTATCTAATAATCCGCTCTTACCATTACAAATGAACATTTGCATTTCAACAAGGCGATTCAATATCTTTCTACTTCAAAATCTCTATACCGGTGTTTCTCAAGGAAGTGCTTTGTTTAATATATATATACATCAGATATTCCAAAAACAGCAAACTCGACCATAGCAACTTTAACAAGGCTGGGCAAGTTAACTATTTTTTTTTAAACTCGTCGAGTTAAGTTAATTTAGAAAAAATGTATGTTAAATTTAAAGTTAAAAGTTAACTTTATTGTTTTTTTACTTGTAAAAGTTACAAGTTAATTAGAAAATAAAAGTAACTTAACTTAGTTAAAAATAAGTTACTTTTTTTTTTAAAAATAAAATTAACAATTATACCTAAATACCTTTTTTAAAGATAACATAAAATATAATAATGGTATAGGTATAGGTTAGGTTATATACTTATATGTCGTGTATGGGATAGGTACTGAGTAAATTGTTATATTTTTCTTTTATTAATACAGTTACCCCTATAACATTTCTGTCTATTATATAGTTGTATAATATTTTCTGTGAATATGCATTATAAAAACTTACTATTATTATTAATTATCATTTACTAAAATATATTTAATATTTCGGGTTTTTTTTTACATAATTAATTTTACAAAATTAAATTTATTTTAAATATGTGGTTTGGGAAAAAATTAACTTAACGTGCCAATAAAATTAATTAACTCATTAGGTTGCTGAACAACATGGGGAAAAATATAACTCGTTAAGTTAGAAGTTACTTCTAAAAAAAAAATAACTCGTTGATTAACTTAACTTTAACTTATTAACTCGTTAATGCCCAGCCTTGGCAACACCAACTTATGCCGACAATACAGCTATACTTGCCTCCAGTTTAGACCCTGTTCAAGCCTCAACCTATCTCAAAAATCGTCTTAACTTAAAAAAACACCTGGGTGGCTAAGTGGAGAATTTTAATAAATTCCTTAAAATCTTTTTGGAGCCATTTACACTTCAGAAAAATAACCTCCCTTCACTTCAACTTAAGAAGTCGGGATACTTACAACAACGGCTTGTGTAAAATATTTGGTAATTTCACTAGGCAAAAGACTAACCTGGGGTCCATATTTAAAGTCTAAACGAAAAATTCTCAATAACCATCTCCATCTGCTTCGACCTATACTCAAAGCCAAACTACCTATTCACTGTATCATTGGTACGTTAAACTCAATACATTCAAATGATTCAATAATATAATTTTGTTATTCTTTTAATATATCATATTATTAAATATATGTTACAATATGACAATATATTATGTGTAAGTACCTACATAAATTCACCTATTCACGTGGTATATTATTTTAGTTAAGTTTATGAACCATTACTTAATTGTATAGGTGCTTGTATTGTGACTCTTATATTATAATTATAAACTACCAGATCATCGAAGGCCATTAGTGTATAATGACCTTTTTATTTACGATAAGGTTGGGAGGAACTACTGTATAATACATTAATACCTATGTTCCGTTTAATACCTATATTTATTAATGTATACATACTTATTAAAAAAATATATTAATTCATAGTTTTTTAAATATTTTTTGAATTGTAATTGCGTATTTGAGTACTGTTATTGAATTATACTAATGCATACTATGTAGAATTTACATATAGCCATATAGGTTAGGTCTCAGACACTTCCCGCAGATAATAAAATGTAATTATATTCAAACTATATTTTCATGGCTTTATCCTGATTATTTAAAAAAAAAAGTTATCTTCCAGTAATAATGCATTGGGAATTGGCTAAATAAAATAATTGATTTCTGATGGTATTAACATACAACATCCAGTATATAGTAAACAAAGAATACTTTGCTTGTAAAACTATGCTCTATGCTAGGATTTAAATATTATTCCCTGAAAGTTTAAAATATTAAATAGTTTTCCTCTATTGATTTTAATGAAATGTTATATAATACGAGTGGATAGGTACTTGAAACTTTTAGAGTACATTATATTGTTACAGTATACACTCAATGACATTTTCAAATGCAATTTTTTTGGATAAAATGAATGGCCTAATAGTAAAATGAAATACTTTAATCACAATACTATCATAAAAAGTACTTTGTAAATAGGCTGAGAATAGAATTCTAGTCTATTCTAGCTGGAGACGCTCAGAATCGTTTATCGTAACAATGATTATTGAATTCAAATTTAACACATCCATTACAATGACTCTCTAGACACCAAATGTACCTACAGCAGATCATTACCCACTTACCAGCTTTTTTTATCTTAAAAGTTAAAACTAAAATTCATGAGTCTCAAAAATGCTGTAATATATTTTAATTTTTATACTTGAATTTTGAAATATAAAATCAATAACTACCTATGTAAAGTCTATGAAATTGAATGATAGTAGATAATATGAATTACAAGTATTAGGTATGTTATATGCATAATATTATAGGAATTCATACCTACGTCATGATAAACAAATATATTATTTTTGTTTTTCATAAATTTCAATATTTCCAATTATTTAAACAAAAATTGAATTTGTATTATTCAAAACCATCAGAATTACCCGGCGTTTCACGGAAAAAAATTGTGATTGTTCAACTCCTGTTTGGTGTAACACTCTGTGAAAGTAAAGTCTTTTTAAGTGAAAATTATATTATATTTTAATTTATAGCCATCCCAACCGACGTTGTCCGTGAGATTCACTTGTGATTATGCAAGCAGTATATTATCAGGTAGGCAATTTACCTGCGGTAGATCGCGGACCCCGCTTGGTGCGTACGTAAGTGTATAATTTAACTCTAAAGTATCAAAGTTATACCAAGTTTGTCATTTTCACTTAATTCAACCTAGGACGGATTAATACAATCAATTAATACAAAATCCTATCCTAACCTGACCATACTAAAAATCCGATGAATAAAAAAATACCAAACA